TACTTCGGCTCTCTTCTTCTCTAATTTTTGCAATTATTTGCTGAATTTCAAATACTTTAGCTGATTTAGCTCTTTGGTTCGCGCCACAATGCAACTTTCTCCTACCCTCAATCAATATGCATTTGATAGGTGGTGCACTTTATAAAGCAACCTCATCGAATGTCGACGTGGTTTTATTCCACAGCTTAATTCCCTTTGAATATGTTTCTTCAGTCAATCCTTTACGTGACTTTCCCAGCTTAGCTTCGAATCTTCATTGATTGGAACTTAGGCTGAGAACATTGCCGTGACATACAACTGCTTGGACAGTTTTTTCCCAACAGTCTGACTTGAGCCGAAATCGTGGTCAGAAGAACGGATGTGCGCGAGTTCACTGGCAACTCGGCACACGGCCTAGAATGTATTGCATCGGTGGAACTCAAGACTTGCTTTGGCATAGTGGGTTACAGGTTATATTGGGGGCTAACGCATGGCAAATCTTCTGATTTCCTCATTCTTTTGAAATATGTGAGACCATGAAATTTTCATTTCTTGCCTCTAAACCCTAAGCAGGATCACTCTTTGGAAACTCGCTAACTTCTTCAACGGTTGTTCTCTTTGGACTAATTTATTCTTGGAAAATTTCATGGCGTTTTTCTCTTTTCCATCGCTGTCCAACTGCTGTCATTCAACGTCTTTATCGAATGCCTTAATAGCAGTGAATAAAACGATTTCGCAGCAACAAAGTTCGGCAGATTTTTCGCTCTGCGAGACATTTGACGAGCCTGACGGCCTCGTCCGTCACGTGAAAAGCGCATGTACTTTGACGGTAGGTGCTGGCGCTCTCTGCTGTGCGCGCGGCACGATCGGGTGAACGCATCCTAAGAACCACACTACTCACTCAGCACCTCTTGCTTGCTATCTCATTCTCGGTATGACGAGGACGACGTCGATGGCCGTCGAGCTGCAATTCTGAGGACATCAACGATTAGTCGGCGCTTTTTTCACCGTGCTGCCTATGCTGCAGCCTTTGATGCTGCGAGAAATTTCCGTACAAAAACCCCCTGCGTACTTTTTTCGCAAGCGCTGGTTTCACGTCATCATCGATTTTGCCTTCGAAGCGAAGTGCTCGAGCGTTGGTTCACGAATCTCTCTGGTCTCAGACCAGGAGCACTCGAAAAATTCCCAGTGGTCGAGTGCCCTTCAAGTGATAGATAAGTTAATCGAGCAAGATAAAATAAACAGTGCAATAACTCAAAATTTAAAATGCCATAAGAATTTTCAAGCAGTAATTTTTGGCGATTGCCGATCGATTTCATTATCCATTTTTGTCCAGAATGTCCTGTGCAGTATAAGATCAGCTGTAACCTTCTGGCTAATTTTGACATAGTCGACCGCAACAAGTTAGTTTGCTGTTTTCGAAGATATGTCTAGTCAAATTTTTCTCCATACAAAGAATGTGTGACGTTAGGTCTGGTTTGGGCACTTCGGGCGAGTATGCGATCAGGTGCACGCTAAATTTTCATTGCCGCTTATACATGAGCCCGGCTAGGCAGTGCGTAAGAAAACGGGGGGATTGGGCCATCCCGCTATCGGTCAGGAAGCTTCTCACGCGGGGAACATGGCATCAGTGGCATCGCCATCTGACATTTCCCACGG